GTGTGTGTGTGTGTGTGTGTGTGTGTGTGTGTGTGTGTATGTGTGTTTGCACAGCATGTGTCTCAGTGGCCATTTTGGCCTTCCAACCTCCTAGCTTGTGTGGGTGCATAAATGTGAACGTTTTTAAAAAACATGGAYGCTGTTACTTCTCTCTTTGTGTGTTTCAATTTGTCAAAGCSTATTGGCTTTGGCCAATATGGACGTCTGTGTGCGCCATCAATCAAAAGGAAGGAATATGTGAGCCAGCGTGTTTGTTGATGTGTAGCTCCAGACGAGGTCACAGATAAGGGCTGGTCCTTTGGAGACCCATCGCTCTCTCTCCCACCTACAGGCTGAGCATAAATTACTACTCCAGCGTAAGCTACACAAACTGAAGCATGAGCATCAGTTTCTCCTCCCTCTGTCGTCTGAATCAAAGCACTGTTGCAACATACATTGTACAGAAAAATGTTTAAATGTATGGTTTGAACTACAAATTTTTAATTTATTTTTGTCTTTTTTGGATGGGCTCTAACAAACTTAATGCCTTTTATCCAGGAAAATTGATAAAGCTGAGTTTTTTCTGATGGTCCAATTTTCTAATTGGTAATTAGTGATCAAAGTGTAGAAAATGTGCTTTTCTCCAACCAACATCTGAAACTCTCAGTCTACACTATCACAGAAATACATAAAATTTACAGATACGTAGGATGTAAAATAAACTTACCTGTTTGTGCATCTCAATATTGAGCCCATAGGACATCTCATAGTACTAAACGGAGAAAGCAAAAGACAAACAAAAACAGGTTAAAGAGGTCAAACAAAAACATGAGCATCTTCTATGGACGAGCTACGAGAGCAAGCAAACATCTTTTTTTATTTAGTGCATGAAATCCATCATGTTTGAAGCTACTGTGAATGTCTCTTTCACATCTGACATACTTTAAGATTCTAATGTCTGAGCCCCGTTTATGAAAAGCACCGGAAAGACTACGATGCTTTTAAAAAGGCAGAGGTGCTTTTTCAACACGAAAAGCCTCGAGTGTTCTTTCTTCTCTTTTTGCCAATGTAATAGTTTTATTAGACTAAGATTACAAAGTGGAAACAGCCTTGACTGCCAGAAGACATACCCACCCTTTTTACACTGAAGGGTAAACATTAATCTACACACAATCTACATGAATCAACACAAGCGGAACTAAAGTAAAGACACAATACTGATATTTTCAAAAACTATCATGAAATTTAATTAAGCGAACTAATAAAACACACCTCAAGCCCCGTGATACGTATTTGAGATCTTAAAGTATCAAAGATGTTGCTGTTTTGCTGTGTGAACACCATAAAAAAGGAACAACAAAAGCAGGCAAAGAGCCTTTTAATGCTTGTAAGTGTGTGTGCTTGTGTATGTGTGTTCATTGTTAATGAGAGGGCCACCTTCTAGGCGTCAACCCTGTTAATCACCCACTCTGTCTGCAGGGGTCTGGTTCTGTCACTGAAAAACAAACACACTGCTCTCACACACACATTTATGTCAGTAGATTGCTCTTTCACACACACACATGCATGCACGCAGTTGTTGTTTTCTGTTCAATCTCACGCTGACAGGATGAATGCATGTGCACACACATTAGGCCCAGTGAAAACACGCACAAACACACACACACACACTGTATTTTTCTCTATAGCTGCCCACGCAGAAGGTCCCTAAAGTAATTACAGCACTGGGGAAATGGAGGTGCTGCCACTGGCTGGGGGAGTGGGGGCAACCTGATATGCTATTAGAGGAGGAGAGGGGAGATCGCAGTGGGGATACAAGACCCAGCCTGCCACTGATGGATTGGAAGCGTGTGTGTGTTTAAATGTGCGTGTGTTCGCTACATTCTGAGTCAAGCAAGTGGGTTCCAAAATACTGTATCTGTAGCTCAGTTCTACAGCAACATTTTGAGCTGAATCCCAAGATGGCTGCAAATTAAGATCTATACCCATGCCAGGTTTCAATTTCATCATAATACCCGGTTTCGTAAAATGAATCAAGTTTATATGTAATATGGTCTGTTACATTTTTAAAGAAAATCTAATTTGTGCAGTTGRGGGGCCGCTCATCCGTCATGAGGTTTTAAATTTGATATCGTGGTCCGAAATTGCGGTTTTACAGACATTATTTCTACTATAGTAAATAAAGGAAAGTAGAGAATGTTAATGATACATGCATGATTTTTTTTCTTTTCAGTAACTTGTTTGTTGGATATTTCAGGTTTCATGGCTCACTTGGCCAGGATATTTTTTTTTTGCTTTTTGCTGTTCATCTTTAAATAAATAAGATCATTTCTCTTTKTTGAAGCTACATTTTCTAAAGTTAATCTAGTGTTTGAACTGCTGAAGGCACCAGCTTGACCTATTAATCACATGACCTATTTTAATCACTCTAACCGGAAACATATACATTCTGCGACTCTGTTTTAAATTGTGTCAAAAGTAGAGAATTCAAACTACCACATTTATTTGCGTACAAGAAATTTAACCCCAAAAATCATTCAGAAAGTGCGTGTGTGTTTGTGTGGGTGTGTGTGTGTGTGTGTGGGGGTAACACAGGAGTAAATTTTGACTGACTATTTTCACGTACAACCACAAAAAGTTAGAATATTTCCACGTATATTCCCCCTCTCTCCAGTTGCACATAGCGAGGCATATAAGCAGGAGCTGTTTACTCGCCAGAATCAGGAGAAAAAAACATTTGTTTTCTTTTTCTTGTTAATCGTGATGTAAAAAAAAAGACTTTGACCGGCATGTTCTGATAAATCCATCTTAATAATTTACCAACCAGCTTCTGCTATGGTCTGGGAGCAGATTGTTTTTTCAGTGACACACAGAACCGGAAACTTACGCTGAATAGGGTTGGGCATAATCGTATCGTGTGCAATTAATCGTCAGAAAAACATTAATAGATTATTTTTTTGGCACTTGATGATTAATACGATTAATGCCACCAGGCAGACTGACTGGTAATTTCCCCGTTCAGTCTGGTCGTGATCCTCTCCGCTTCAAATATGACGAACATAAAAAAATTAATTCTGAAATTGATTTATCTATCAACACAATTTAAAATTTGATGTATAGACCAAAGTCTGTAATTTCGACAATTCGGAACAGATTTTTATGAAGAGCAAATCTTTCCCACCAAATTGGTCATGAGACCAGGACATAAGGGTGCCCAGGGACTCCAGGGGATTAATCACCAAATTAATCGTTATCGGCTAAATATCACAATTAATCGTGATTTATTTTTTTGCCAATATCGCMCAACCCTACCGCTGAATGCTCTCTGCAGCAAACCACGTCCACACACGTGTCTCCCCAAATAAYGTTTCTTCATCAGAGGGCACACCGCAAAGGCTGAAAAAWCCTGAAGTCTGTCTGAAATGAGTGGTGGCTCATAACATGATTAGATTTCTTTATGCTTTTTAAGCAAAAAAAAGATGTATTATACTTGAGATTGTATTATACATGAATAAATACGGTACACACCAGTTTTTAAATTGTGCCGAAAAGCTAAATAAAACCAGGTTTATAATAAATAGCTTACACCACTGTTTTTCAGAACATGACTGTCCTATTAGATGTGCGTTGCAGCTGTAGTCAGCAGGAAACACGGTGGTCTCATGGAAAAACACAGCTCAATCTGCCRTCAGTCTCATCCTTCTCTYAAGCCATAAAAACATAAAGCACCTGACCTCCTTTCTGAACAAGGCTCAAAATTATTTGACAAKTGCCAAAATTCTTCAGGAAGAAGAAATTAAAAAGATGCGAATGTTGAATGAAGTTCGGCGGCAACTGAGAGACAGCAAGAGTGGGAGAAACTAACTTAACACGTGATAGACCATAAACCCCCTATATCACAGTATTACCTAAAGATACGTCGGTATGAAAAAGATTAATTTCACCCCAACCCTAGTAGAAACTTATAACCAAATAGAAATGTGAAGCTTAAATGCACCAACAAGACCTTTCAACGAGATGTGAGTCCACTTTGTTGCACAGCTTCTTTTTCATTTAGCTGAATTTACCACTATGACAAATCCCAACCATATTATTACACACATACAATCCTGCTCTGCTGTAAAATGGCAATCATGCATTGCAGACCAATGCAAACTGTTAACAAGACTAAAGGAACACGTAAAAGCTGTAACTTGTGCTCCAGAGCACAAAAAACATACAAGTGTAAATACTGAGCACTGATGAAAACCCTCAATTTTCTTCTCACTACTTTCTGTTGATAATATCAGCGTGTGGGCCAGGAGAGGGTTTGCTGAACCATCAAAGGAATAAAGAAATCTCAGGGTAAATGAAGAAGCAGGCTTTCATCAAACCATCAAAATGCTCAAGATTACAATTATTTTTACCATTTCCTTTACAACGAAGAATTTGCAAATAGTGCAACAGTCAGAACATGTATTTTAAACACTCCAACACAACATTTTTTTTAATTTTTGACTTTTTAATCACTTTTGCTAGCCTTAAAAACAAAAACAAAAACAAAAAAAAAAAAACAACAACTAAGCAAGTGTGTCCAGTTCGCGTGTCTCCATTGGCCTGCTGATGGTGGAGAGAGCAGTGTGGCGGCAAAGATTAGATGAGATTAAAGCCAGTCAGAGGATCAATTAGAGGCAAAACATCAGACGGCTACACAGCTATGGCTAGCAACAATGAGATTAGCCCCGAGGTGGAGCAGAGAGCAGGCAAGCACAATTCTGTTTGTGCATTTGTGTGAGTATGTGTTGAAAAACACAAAGGAGGATGGGAAACACAGTGGATATGAAAGGAGTTTACACTACTGTATATTTACAGACTGATCAATCAGTGCTTCCTTGAATATAAACATTTTAAAAAATGGTTAAATACACAGCTGAGCATCACATACAGTAGACATAGATTAACTCACCATGATATAATGGCGCTGCATCTCAGACTTCTCACTCGCCAACTTGTCACATTCGAGCTTCAAACTGGAGAGAGGCAGACAGAGCAGAGGAGCAAAGTCAAAAATTCTCATTCAGCTCAACAGTCTCTCTTCTAAAGTGCTGACACGCGGCGACTTCTCTACCCCCTTCATCATCATTAACTACACTTTCACCTGCAGCACTGTCATTACTTTCATCGTCACCTTCATCTTCATCATTACCGAGCCCATTTTCATCATCTTCTTCGCCACCACCATCTATATCATGACTGCCACCTCTATCATCATCACTGCTGTCGTACTAACCTTTCTGTGACAGTGTTCTCACTTTGACAGGTGCTGAATGACAGGAGGGGGGGGGGGGGCTGATTCTGGTTTTGATGAGATGAACTCGCTCTGAATTGTAGAACATCTAGCTCAGCCAAAACATTCGCTTTCTTATCCAGATTAAACAACGCTGGAAAAGTTTAAACATGCTACAAGAACGCCCTCTGTAACTCGGGCCTTGCGACAGCCATTAACCGTAATCATGTCAATGCTGATGTCACGCAAGGAGACATGTCAAAGGAGAGTACGTCAACAAGTCAAGCTGATTGTCAAATAGAAATGACAAAAACTGCCTCGCCGTGGATTTGATTGAAGCACTCAGTTAAAAAGTGCCAGTTCCAGAAGGCTTCGTTTACCCGTAGAACTTAAGRTTGAATAAAATATGTTCAGACACACTGTGGGAAGGTTTAGACTTAGGATAAGTCAGCAGCCTGTTTCAAGGTGGCTAGGTCTATGCAGGGATGTTCTTCTCAGCTGTCTGCAGGAATGACAGCTCGATTGGAGCCAACGCCGGCTGAGTCTTCATCATAGTTAATCTCAACTGGCAGACAGAAAACAGTTTTACACATAGCTAATGATGTGAACATCCTCGTGCATGCAGTAGATATGTTTCCTTCTATAATCAGCACACCAGATGCCGTCATTTCAGATTTGTTTGTTTATTGTTGCCCTGACTTAAGCTCGGTTTCTTACGAAAACAAAAAGGAATCGCAGAAATTTAAGGGTCTTGTTTAATTTCTAAATGTCAATTCCAGCTTCAAAGTAAGTTGGTTTAGTTTATTTAGACATTTTACTAAAATATCTAAAATCATGGCAAAAGCAAAGTTCAATCTCTTTCTTTGTGTACAATACATCGATCCACATCAATATAATGATTAAATGGTTAAAGATTCAGTGACATCAAGGCTAAAAGGAAAAAAAAATCATATGACCAATGTGGATTTCATAGATGGACTTATGATATTACATCATTTCGATCACAGACTTCTGAATTGAATTGTCATTGTCTAACGACAGACTGTGTGATAGAGAAACACTGTATCGTCATCCAAACAAATCGATGCATCGTATTGTGATAAAGCTGCTGATTTACACCCTAAGCATGTTATGGAAAACAGTCATCAGATTGTACTAAAATTAAATGAACATTAGACGAATGACACTTTTTTAAACAACAACAAACAATCTAAATGCAAAAGTAGTGTATGAGACAAATGGCATGGCCTTACAACTTCCACAGCAACTAAAGAGGTAAAACCAACCAGAGTCTGTTATTAAAAAGATCATTGGCAGGTGTGAGCACAAAGTCATTTTGTTTTCAAGGCAAACACCACATAGCAACAGAAGATATCAGGGAAATGGAACAGCTGCTGCTCGATCTGTGGGTTTTTGTCTGACTCGGGGTGAAATCAGACGCCAAAACGGGAAGTGAGTCTACTGTTTCAGGAGCTTCGACACTTAGAACAGTGCTGAAAGATGCAGAGTTATTAAACATTTGTGTGGGGGTCTTAATTAGAAATAATGTAGGCATAATGTTTAAGGTGTTTTAAACCCTGCCTGAGYGTAGAAAACATTCAAGACAGCCTTCTAGTGTTGCTCTCCCAGCTAAAGTTTGTAATGGAGCAAAAAACAAAAACTAAACACAAATGTCTTGGCTGAGAGAGAAGCCATGAGGAAACCTTGTTTCTCTAAATAAGAACCTGGTTCTATGACTTAGGTTTGCCAAGTTACATGTGAACAAACCACAACACTTTGAAAACAGCCTTTGTTGATCAGATGGGACATAGGAAGATGTCTTTTCATGTTTTTCAAAAATGAAACAAATGCTGATGATACTWTTTATTTATCTGCTATATTATGATGAATAAAGTAGTCATTACTCTTTTGATAAGAAACACCTCATGCAATCATGTTAAAACCAAGACATCCTATTAGGGAGGCAGGATATCAGCATTCATATCGGTATCGGCCAATATTGGTTATTTTTTAGAATATTGTATCGGTCTGATATGTAAGAGTGGGCCAATATTGATGTCCGATATAATTTCCCACTTTTTAGCTTAGTGTTTCTGTTTTGGGAGGGGAAATGGTTGGTTGAGCAGCATCTGTTTGATCATGATAGTGATATTTACGCTGCGTAACCAGGAATAACTGAAGTAGGGAGCCGTGTCAGAGGTCTGGTTGTTTATTTATCGTATCAAAAAAAGACCCAAGTGTGTTTGTGCGCATATGTTTAATATAATTTGTGTGTTTATGTAATATCGGTAAATATCGGTTATAGGCCATAACAGCAATAATTATGTTGGATATAGATATCGGCTGAAATTTTCATATCGGTTGCATCCCTACATCCTATTTCTTTCTTCCACAAAGCTGAGAATTAAAGGTTTTAGTTGGACAGAATTTAAAGGGGCAATATCATGTAAAATCAACTTTTTCGAGTTTTATATCATGTTATAATGCTATACTCTCATATAAAACATGCCCAAAGCCTTGCTTTGACTCATGCATGTTGGAGAAATCCTGCAGCGTCTTTTGGCAGCCATGCTGAGGAAGAAAACGACAGTTGGGGACCAGAAACGCCTTTTGGGACCAGAAACGCCCCTGGGACGTGTCTTTAAGCTGAACTTCCCCATCACGGCTTCAAAGCGTTTATAAGAGGAAGTGATGAGAAGATAAGTTTATTTTCTATTTAAACATAAAAACAGCATTTTAATAACAACTAAAGGTGGCATAGATACTTTATTATGGTATAGTATTTAAATATGTGCCTGAAAAACACATAATATTGCCCCTTTGAAAGATAAAACTGGTCAATTAATATCGAAACCAAAAATAATCAAGGAGCACCAGGAAAGTAATTTACTAGTTGAAATAAAACTAAGTTTGTTACCTGGTAGATGTAAAAAAAAGTGTTGGTGCACTTTAAAGTTAGATAACTGTTAATACCATGGTGACTACTTATACCTCTTGMACAAGGGTGAGATTTTTTAGTATAAAGGGCAGACCTAAACTATAGCCTAATAAAGTGAATGATCACTTACCCAAAACACTTATTTTTTCTCCAGCAAAAAAAAAACCTTTCTACTATCCCCGYGCATACACATGGGCTATATAACAAGTTGTCATGACGACAGGCGTCCTCACTGGATTGGCTCGGTGCCTCCGCTGATTGCTGCTCGGCAGCCCCAGGGTCTGCACCGCTGTTCTCAAACGACACTTTGATGGAGTTTTATTGCTGTTCCTTCCGCCTCTAAATCGCTCCTGSTGTCATCTTTATTTTGATTTATGTATTCCCTGATCTATTTATGCATGTGAAATAGGGGAGGGGAGAAGAGGTGGGGGAAATGGAGTGAGTTTGGGGGCAGGGGTGGGGTTGGGCGTGCGTGTGAAGAGGAAGACAACGACAGCTACAATGCTTGGCACTATACCCAGGGGAACGCCTGCGGTACAGTTGCCTTTTAAAGTTATCAGCAACAGACGAGCTAAGCGTAGCAGCAGAGTGCTACAAAAACCTCGCTTGTGGCTCCCCAGACCCCCACCCTATYCCTCCTCCTGAGTCAATAGGCACTGTATGCATGTTCAGTATGCTCAGACAAAAGAGGTATTCTTTTAACTGCGCCCTCAGTCTCTGAAAAGGGTTAAACGGTGCTGCTCACTGTTGTGGGAATAACAAAACCAAAGGCGAGAGGAGAGAAAAAAAAAAGACGCGGAGGGCGTTATTGCAGCATCAGAATCCTCTGCATACAAGAGCGATCAGGCCACAGCAGGGATTTCACACAAGCTAAGCTTTCATGTGCTTTTGACTGTCTCTGCAACTGGCAGAGGCAAGCCTCTGGATAGTTCTGCGAGCACAGGTACAGAGGAACAAACCGAGCTCATCCGGAAGGAAGGAGGGCTTCAAAGACTCTTTTCTCACAAAGAGATGCTCACTAAGATGTAAACCCTGTGGCATCCCCCTTTGTAGAACAGCTATCAAACAGATCAGTGAAGGTCAGCCTTTGGAAATAAGCTCTGGAACTGGAAGCAGTATTTAAGCACTACAGGAACAGATCAGTAATTTAGAATTGAATTATACGTAAAGAGCAAATAAGTAGAGAAAAAAATAGAACAAAAGATACATATCTAAATTTTACCACATTATGAAGGGATTTTTAGAATTAACAACACATTTTACTCCAGGCAATTCAGTTTTTTCTATCAACTCCAAAATATTTTCTTGAGGCTTTCTTATTAAGAATGATGTAATTTGGTCCCAACAGTAGCTGCATAAATTCACTCGATGTTATTTTAGGTTGTTAGTTATTAGAGTGTTTTTGAAATGAATTAAGTGGATATGTCCTAACGAGGATTTGCATGTTTGACTAAACTACTGTACAGGTAAACAATTTTACATCTAACCAAGWGTTCCTCATTTTTATGCGTTAAAATTTTTCTGTAGAATAAATCAAATTAATTTTTATGTCTTTACAATAACAGCTCACACTGCTGAACTAGTCTATATTATATATGAGAGTTATGATTATGGGTTTTTAATAGTACGTTTGTCCATCTGTTAGCAAAATACTTCTTGAACCACTTGTTGGGTTGTAATAAAATTCTCAAAGTAATTATTAGACGTACATCGATAACTTTTTGCGTCAAGTGGATTCACGGAAGCAGGCACAACTAATCAAGCTTAGCAAACACAAAAATTATTCTTATACTACGTTAACACCAAACGTGTTTTGAGCATCTAAAACGCACCCAACACCTCAAGTTGGACGCACTACATTCAGACTGGACGCGCGTCTGAAGATAGGAGGAGCGTCGAGGTTTTTTCAGGCCTGTCTTTAATGGCTAATGAAATAAAGATAAAATAAAGAAAATGACTTTGCTTTATTTACTAAAGAGCAATCGAAAGTTGCGCTCACCAGATAATTATTTCACCCGATAATTTTGAGGCAGTCTGTTCGGTGAGTTTCACCACACCAGGATCTGTGAGCTGACGGACTGTTTTTTGTCCCGAGCCCAGTTTAACATCGCGGTCAGTTTAACGAGCTGCTGACCCACATCGGTGCTGATATCTCCAGCCAGAACACCAACTACGACGGTTGAATTTAGCTAAAGAGCTGCTGTCCGTCTGTTTCAGGTTAGTGGGGAACATTCAGGAAACCGTCACGTGGTAAAATGATTCTCTCTGATTGGTTGACGCGGCGCGTCGAGCAGCAAAGTTCCGATTATTGAACTCGACTGTTGGCTGCTTTGGATGCACCGCATGCACGTCCAACACTCAACCGCTTCATTGCGCGCTGCGCTAAATGCTCTACACGCGCCGCGAGACTCCTATACGCACGCCCACCACAGACTTTTTGCATGTAAACCGGCTGCTCCTGCAGCTCGAGATGCATTCAGTGTGAATCCAGCTTTATTCCCTTTACATATATCGAGCTACAGTATGCTGTGGTAGTAGCCAAGTGTCATCTCAAACACAATTCAAGTGCTATCAGATTGAATGAGATCTTTGTTTAAAACTTTGGTATGCACTTCTTGAAGAAATGCATGTTACTCAGTGCTAAATTCATTTATTTTTAAGGATTTATGGTAGTTTACATTCTAAACGAAGCCTTTGTACCATCTTCTGGAGTCAGACAAATCTCTACCACATTTTCTTTTTTTATCTGGACTTGTCTTGAAGCACCTATGACAGGAAAATAACATAATGATTGTGCCATCGCTTTGTCCCTCATGGTTAAAGTTGCTCTGTGGTTTCCTCCAAATCCAAAGACATTTAGGTAGCTGTTGTTAAACTCCCAACATGTTGTCACATGCTTTTAGAAAAGAGCAATCCTGCCTGGTCATTTTACCCTAAATACCTTTAGTAGAGTGTTGCACTCCCCTTGTTGCAAACAAACTCTGGATCTAAACTGTAGTCGCTGGTTGCTGAATTATTGTATGAGTAGTCTGTTTTGCTAGTACGTTTCATTGCGTCTCAAATCTTTGTTTTAACTAACCATGAAATACTGCACTGGATTGATACATTTTACATTAAAGACATTTTAAGATGTGGAGAAAAAAAAATCAAACCGGTCAAAAATGTTATTCTTGTGCCTGAGTGTATAGGGACATAATATCATTTGAATTAGTCACCATCAACAAAATATTACAGCTCTGCTTAACAAGCCGCAGTCTGTAAACATGATCACAAAAAAAAAAAAAAACACTGAGAAAAAACATACATTATACAACAAAAAACCTGCACTTGGCAGGCTGACATTCTAGATGTGTGTACTGGTGGATGCGTGTGTCAGTGTGAGCACCTGTGATATTGTGCTTGAAGAAACTGGAACTCATCCTTGATCCTGTCACAAGAGTCAGAGGTTGTGAATTTCAGCTGCTGCGATGAGGCCTGCCAGAAAGATTCAATGAGAAGAAACACAAGAAAGGAAACTGTGAGAATTAAATGCAGAAAAGAGGAAGTGCAAATGAGGACAAATGGCTTGAGTATGGTAAATTTAAAAAAATGAGGATAAAATTAAAGTATTTCTATGTGGTTACAGTCAAACAAGTATGTGACTTCTTAAGACTGGTTGCCAATTCCATAAATGCAATTTCAACACTGATCATTGCTGATATCCACTTCTTCACTACTATCACAAATCTAAGCCGAACTTTGTCAATTTTGTTGTGGCAGTAAATAAAGAAATAATATGTTGCATGAATCTGCATTAAAATGCCACTCATGTCAAGTCAAAACGACCTAGATCTGTTTCAATAGACGTCTAGCTTCATCGTTTTTCTAACTTAGTTTTTTATGAGAATAAAAGAAATCTTTAATAAAATTGAACATACAGTATATCCTATTCTGCAACACAATGGACATTTCAGTTAGCAAACAATCTGTCATGTATTTTTTCTCTCTCTACTTAATGTTTTGCATTTAAAGAACTATGTTAAAGAACCAACCAAAGGCATAGTTTCAGGATGTAAAAATATTTTATTTCAAAAGATTTTTTTAACGTTTTGGATCAATTCTTCATTCAACAAATTTGGTATATGTTTTGAGAAAAAAAGTTTTTACTATGAAATTTATATTATTTTGAAAATGAAAATGCATTAAGTCTGGAGAAGGCAAATATATGTAGTGAAACAAAAACTGTGACTTCAGCCATAAATTTATTAAATGTCATGAGACGTATTTGTATAATCAGGCTGCTATCGCATATATAAACCTCTAATCCACACAGGCCACAGTGTTGCTTGGAGACAGAGGTTTCTCCTGTAAAGCAAAATAACCTCTTTCCACTATCTCCCAAGCCAGCGTGGCATGGACCAAATTCAGCAAACAACAACTCGGCTATATGGATCTGTGCCACACGAAGCTTGTGCCAACATTTGGCAACAGAGAGTCACACAACTGACACGGCATTGTGTGCATGTTTTGTTAAAGTGTGTGTGTGTGTCTCCCCAGTTTGCCAGAGGGTAGTGTTGTTGCTCAAAAGCCGATTTCCTCCCAGTGAATCCCAGTATGCAAACGTTTAAAATACCAAAGTTTGAGTCAACTGCCTTAGGTAAATGGGACAAGAAAAATGAAGAAGAAAATAAACTGAAAATGAAAAACAATTAAATAAAGAGAAACAGCACAGAAGACAAGAACAACATGACATAACAAAATAAAGCCACAACGTACTGATTAGAACTTCTAAGATGTAATCTTTTTTTTTCCCTGGGAGATGTCACAAACAGTTGTTTGGCAATTTTGGATGTCAAAAATCAAGTAATCTGTAGATAAACAAAACAAGTGTAGGCAGAAGCTTAAAAAGNGTGTGTGTGTGTGTGTGTGTGTGTGTGTGTGTGTGTGTGTGTGTGTGTGTGCGCGGTGGTACTGGGGGTGGGGGCTGCTCATCAACCCTAATTTAAATTCAAGCCTAGTTTGACAACATGTTCAAATGTTCAACTGTCGCTCTTGGTTGAGTTTAGTAAGTGGTCTTTCCACTTCAGAGAACACTTCCTTATCTGTTGTCATCTAGCCTGTCTACACTTTTACTGTGCACTTTTAGTTTGGTCTTTCTGATTGAGTAAATATGTTGAACCCTGAGGGCAAAAAGTACACAGGAGTTTTTTTTTCTCCCCCCATCAAGGGAATAGCAGTTGTCAGTAAGGGCAACCAGATCAAAGGAAGTGGTCGGCAATGGTCAACATCTGGTTGCCTGGGGGAATAAGATAAATGTTACACCTGACCTTCTGCCTGAAACATTTTCACTAACTTTAACACAGATCAGAGCTTTACACCGCAAAGGTTAAAGGTTCTGACCCCGGCTCTAAATTGTCTTCATCTGGCAGACGACAGTTTTTTTTAGGGATGCACTGGGTGTGTGAGACAATATTGGTATCCAGTTTATTTTATTGAACCAACCCACACAAACTCATATGAATATTTCATTTATTATTATTCAACAATCAACTGAAACACATGTTGACCATAAAGAATTTTGATCAACAGTTTTTTTTAGTCTGCAGCAGGTTACAAGCCTTTATCACGCTTCAAATAAATACACTTTACAAAGGTAAGACAAAATAAATCAAATGCAAGTTCCAGGAAGCTGGGATTTATCAATTCAAGCCAATCAAGGTGAAAACTTGCTTGTACTGATGGTTTAGTGCACCTTTAGTAATTTCATACAAAACTGCCTGAAGATAGGGACTAGAAACAGAATACAGACCAGAAAATTGAGGTTTTACCATAACTGCTGAAAAAAATTACATGAAAATAAAAACCCTGAAGAAAACCAGGACGTTAGGCTCTTAATGATAATACTGAATGTGCCACAATTACTACCAAATAACGAGAGATTTTGGGTCTAAACTAGCCTCATCCAATATACAGCGCTAATGTTTGTCTTCGCTCTGTCAGCGACCAAAACAAGGTGCTCTACAAGAACCTGAGTGCACAACAGATTGACGCCCAAAATGTCAATGAAATACTGCCGCAATATTGTGACACATGCCATCTGCTGTGACAAAAAAGCAGCCATGTGCTGTGTTAGTGAATATGTATTTGTTCAAGAGTGAGGCTAGGCTATTTGTGTGTGTGCGCAGATGTGTTTGTAAATGCTGTGAAGAAACAGACTAGAAAAGGTGTATAGACATCCTAGACTAAAAAAAAAACTGATTGGAGAAATACTGTATGTTTGTGTGTCAGCACTGGTGTGTGTCTGTGTAATAAAGCTTCTAGGTATAACTGAACACAATAAGAACAAATATTCACTACTAAGAATCACACAAAAGAACACGACAGCCCACACAAACATCCCCTCACATGCAAAATTTGCATTGTGAACTCACACACACACGTGCACACACATAGCACCTCGATGTAGGACGATCTCTAATTTGATTCTGCCCTGCTCCTTTGAGACGTAATTAAAGCATTAAAAAGCTTTGTGGGCTGCTGAGGCAATTGAGACAGTCTTCAGCGAATAAATGGGATTCATCGTTTCAGGAAATTGCTGCCCCCACCCCCACCCGCTAACCCTAAGCCCACTCACCCCCCCAGACATACACACACTTTCTGGTCTCATCATCTGGTCCAATCCATGTGAAATCTTCTGTGAACCATTATGTCTATTTTAAATAAGAATCAGACTAAGGCTTATTCTGCTCAATAGATCAGTCAACAAAACCAACGGGAAGAGATGGAGATTACAGAGGGGTGGGGGCTTAGTTTCACACACACACACACACACACACACACACACACACACACACACACACACACCACCATAGAGTGATTAGACACACCAACAGTAAATTAATACAGTAGAGCATTTTGACACNCACACACACACACACACACACACACACACACACACACACACACACACACACACACACACACACACACACACACACTAACAGCAGGATAAAAACATCTTCCGCAGTTTAAATCCTGCCTGAGGCAAGCTGCAGTGTTGGGATTGTATTTCCTGGAGCACTGCCTGACTGTTTACATCTCAGTCGGAGTGTGTTTGTGTGTGGTATACGCATGAGTGTTCATGTGTATGGTGGGAGGGATGGAGTCTTGGCATTGTAATCACTCACTAATGACTGGATGTTATCTCACTCCCACTCTTAAATGAATGCAGAAGATCCACAGTGACGAACGGTTGCCCTATTTTTCACTGCCAGGTTGTCTGTTTGTTCCATAGCAACGGTCTCAGGGATGCTATTAAAGCCAGCTGCCTCTTCTGTCCATCACAGATTTGCACTGCTATATTTGCATGTAAAGGATATTAGCTACAGTATAAAATAATCATTCAGGAAAAGCGATTTACCAAATGACTAAAATGAAAACTATTTTGTGCAAACTGTAAGCCTTTTGTGATATCAAAAACAGGTTTGTGTACAGAATGTGTTTTAAGCCTGTTTTACACTCCTTCCGAATTGCTGAAATTGGCTCAGATTGTCACAGTTTTATGACGAAAATTACGTCAATGTTTTCAGCGTCGACTCTGCCACCTCTTTTGTCACAACCCGCTGGCAAAACTTTTTACCTCCCTTCACATAAGAACTTATTGTGTAATTGGTCAGAAGAGAAGTTCGTGGGAGTGTTTGTTCATGCTGAAAGCACTCGACGCTCCGTTTTGCTTCAACTACTTGCTTAAAAACAAAAACAACAAAAAAGAATGATTCGCTTTCAGAAGCCGACCGCTGTAAGCTACCAGGAAGTAGACATTTATAAATATGGTCAAACGACCAGAAACTCATGGATGGAGATAAAACAGAATGATGAATGAATGAATGAATGTGACTGATAACAAYTGCAGAGCTTTAAAGGGATCCCTGATTAGTTGTAACATTAGACTTTATTTGATAAACATTTATTTTAACTGTAAAATAAAGACTGTAAACATACTGTTTAGTTTTGCAATTTTAAAAAACATCTTTTAACATGGACAGAGCCACTTTATTTACACACAAAGCATTCTGAGTAAATTATGACGGGGATAGGTCATTGGTGCGAGGCTGCTAGCGAGCTATATCCACCCTGAAGGTTAATCTTGGAAAATATCTGACGATCGACTCTTTTAAATGAAACCAGAGAGTGTTGACAGAGAGGAGAAGGTAGAAATGACTCAGCCTGTRACTGAAAATATGGATGGAGGACAACAGAGCTGCTTCATGGAAGAAGAACCTCAGATTAGCCTGTTAGTCTTTGCTAACAGGCTTTGTTTTGCTTCCATTTAAAAGAGACGATCGTCAGCTACAGTATATGGTGGATATAGCTCGCTAGCAGCCTCGCACCGATGACCTACCCACATCATCATTTACCCAGAAT